CTGTAGGATGGATTTATTGCGATTTTAAGAAGTGCATGATGGGCGAGTTTTTAAAACTTTAACCTTCCGTATTTTCGAAAATATTTATAAAAAAAATTGCCAAAATACGTGTCGGCTTATTTTATATAGGAAACGCGTAAAAAAGTTTGAAACAAATTAAAAATGTGATGCCATACTTTTGACGAAATCCGTTCTATTTGTAAAAGAATGCCTCATATACATATATTCGTGTGATAATACGCTCAAATTTCAAGAATCAAATTCAAATCAAAAGAAAAATGAGGAAGTAGATGTAATTAAATGCTAAAATGTACTTAAAAACGTTTCGAAGTACTTGAAAATAAAAATGTGTTATAATAAGTGCTGGCTATTGAATATTAACATATTAGCATCATGGTGTAACGGCGAGCTACTAAACAAATAACTCCATAAGTAATTATTAGCATTCGCTATATAATAGCGGAGATATTAAGAGTGGCCACAATATCTATACTGACCATAATATCACTTCCTCCACTATTAAAAAATTAAAATTATTTTCGAATTTTATTTAGTTTTTCTGTTCCCCTAATCTTCCTAAAAAGCCATTCTGATTTTTTCAATTTCTAACTTTTAATTATTATTTTTAAATACTAACAATAGGTTTTATAAACGTTTTGCAAATAAAATTTCTTAGATAAAATACCTACCTCAGATTTCAAATTTTAATAATTCTTTCTACATCTTAATATAATAAAATTTTTTTAACAAAGTATCACAAAAACTTGCAATTTAGTTTCCTAAATTTTGTTGCCTATATTCGACAAAAAATTGTTCCTTACCAAAAACGTGCTTCAAACTATACGGGTCGATATTCTCCAGTCCATCAGAATGGATAACGATTTAACTTGTAAACACAGAGGTCGGAAATTTCGATCGTGTCATCTGCAAACGACGGCTGCCGAAAAATAGGATTCTGCTTGCAAACGCGAGAAGTCTCATGCTTTTCAGCATTGGTTCGCTCTGGACTAGATCAGCAGTAGAACCGGAAGTCCGTTCGATGTACGGACGCGGTGAGCTATAAAACGCGTTATTCGGCCGCTCGACGGATATTTGAACTTATTCGTATGTTAATATATTTCGATGTTTGGCGACCAGCCAACTCGATTGGCCTCAATACCGTTCGTCGTGCAAACCGCGTATCTCGATGCATCGGTGCATCGCACCGTTTACGACATACACACGGAATCGTCAATACATATATACTCGTACATTATCAATAATATGTTTCAGTAAATTAAATAATAATGTGATGTAATAATTACTATCATAATAAATTTTTAGTTCAATATTATTATTCAGTAATTAATTAGTTTTTATTATTGCTATTACAAATTTCATTAAAAATCTAATAATTTTCTAGCTACTTTAGGATTAATAATAATCAAGCTTTTTTACAAAATAGATTATATGAATAAAATAGAAACGGAATTTCTATTATTCATATCAAGTAAATACTTAAAAAATTATACGGAAAGGATGATTTTGCCAAAGTACAAAAATCTAGCTAGACACAAATTTGAAAATAATTTTATCGAACTTATCAAAATTTTTACAATATTACTCATTACGCTTGAGTCTTCTACATAATTATTTTGATAGTCCAACAAAATTATTTTTAACCCTCTACCCGTGTTCATATTATATATCATTGATCATGTTTAAAACTTGATCTTTTTGTTGACAATACTGTAATACCACGAGAACGTTTTAAAAACGCTCGGGTCAAAAGAGACCCGAACACGAGTAAAAGGTTAAATCTGTATCAATCTAGATAAATTTTTAGATATTTCAGCAAAATCATTCTTTCCGTATATAAGTAAAGCTTTTGTTTACACTTGATGAAAGCATTTTCTTTCACAAAAATATTCAAAAGTTACATACATAAATTATATATTGTAATTTTTTACGTACTTGCGTGAGTGTGCTATGATAGATATGCTCTGACAGCGATGGCGTTTACGTAAAAATATTTCAAAGTACAACGCAAATATCTCGTAGTAAAAGTAAAAAATTAATATTTCATACAAAATATAGAATAATGCCTCTACTTTTATTTTAAAATAAATGTTTCTATCTCGTATTAGGAATATTTAGCTTCTATTCAAGTAACTCTGTTTGTGAAGTAGTATTATTAAAGTCATTCTGTTCTAGCTTTGTTAATGATAGCTTTGATGCATTGAATTTGCACGGGCATACATGCGTTACAAATGCAGCACCCTCGAATTCGGCACCGTTTGCACGAAATCGGAGCAGGAATATCCGATTCAATTTGCCAGACCGACATTTATTTACCCGTTCGAAGTGAACTGGTCGAGTCGCAACGCCTACGACGAGCCAGCAGAATCGTTTAAATCACGGCGGTCGCGCCACGCAGAATGCAAATCGAGTTTATCATTACGACCTGACCGGATATCGGCTCGCCGACTATGTGCCGTCGATTCGTATGTTTTACTGTTTGGTGTTCACGTTTAATGCCTACACGAATCGGCCATTTCGACCGATCAATCCACGTGAGTTACGATGCTCGTCTTAAAAGAAATGAGAACACGAATTAGTTCAAAATTGTTTATCCAACTAATTATAACTTAACATTCTATTCCTTGAAGTATGTATCTTGGGAATTGTAGATGCTGAATTCAGCGCAATTCTACTACTCCTAGTAACAATTCTGTGGAAGTTCTCTTCTGTTTAAATGCCTGCAATGGAACTACATCATGACTTCTAATGATGTTGTCTCTCGTCTGTCAGAAAACTTTTAATTGGGAAAAATTTCAGTATTGCTGTGTTATCAGATTCTACAGATTCAAATTTTTGTCATCGTGGTTTCTTCCAAAAGTTATTGTAAATATAAAAATATATACATATTTTAAACGATTGACTATCTACTAATTAGTGATGCATTTCGATATGAGAATCTCGGAATATCGTCTCAGAACTTCTTCTGTCATTAAAAGAAACACTTCCGAGATTATCATATGTCATTTGTTTTTCTCATCTCGTTTCGTCTCGACATCTTTATGATAGTTATAATTATGTAATGTGCTGCCTGGTTATATAAATATTTCAAATAAATGAAACGAGATATTCTCTCTCTTTTT